ATGGTTACATAATGAATAAACTTGTTTCATTTATTTTATATTAAACATGTGACAGAATTTATGACTTGACTAGGTATAGTAAAATCAATACACTATATTTTAATTTTTGTAAATAAGAGAAAGCGCAAATTAAGTTTCCGAACGACGATGTCCAACGTCTACGAAATTGCGCGGGTAAGTGTTTACTTTGTAGTTTGTTGACAACATGTCAATAATATTTTAAGAATATTCGACTATAAATTAAATTAAATTTATACTTGGCTTATGTGAAAAATAACCTTAGTCGCAACCAATAAATCGGTGGATTTTGTAGGCCTGTGCATGTGCGGTTTAAGATAAGTAAGATTGTAGACCATATCTCCTCTCACTACGATCTTGCAGTTGCCTTCTTTGCATTTTTTCCATATTATTATCGAGTGAAGCATCACTTTCGAGATACTCAAACATTTTGTATTCATCACACATGATGAAACGATTGACTAAAAATATATAAACTTAAAATTATAATAATTATTATACAATTCTGTACAAAACAATTCAATTAAAGCTAAACCAAGACACTGTAAACTGAATGGTTTGTGGCTGTTACTTTTTGACGTTTGTAATACGATATTGCCAGCCAAACTTCGAGCAGAAGACAGCCTAGTGTCACGTGATCGATGACTGGCTGGTATTACCATTTCATAATACGAAATTACAAGGCAGTTTAGTTTACGGCGTAAACTGCGTGGAAATAAGAGTTCATATTAGGCCCCCAGGAGTAGTAAAAAAATTGTTGTTCACACAAATGAGGCGCCCATACCCACTTACCTCCTATTTATAGATTACCGATTGATATTTATTTGTTACACGTTTCGTTTCACTTTCAGTTTCACTATCGCGAGTTATCAACTTAATAAAAACGTGACGTTTCTGGGCACGTGTCTCATGCTTAAGACAATGTTATTGTATATTATATATTATATTTAAAAATCACATTTAAACGCAATACTGGTTCATAACACGTCAAATTAAAAAAACACAATATACTATTATTCTTTTTCCAGTGCAGAATTTAAATAATACGAAATATTCTGATCCTGTGTCTTGCTTTAGTAGTATAACGTATTATTTTCAGTACATAAGTGTATATATGTACACAGTAGGAATACATATGTAAGTTACATAGCGTGGCGGGCGCAATTAATCGTGCCCAATCAACCGGCGCAATGGGCATTCAAATTATTTATGTATCATGCCATACGTAACCAGTTATAATTAATTTAATAAAAAGAGCAACATTAATATGGTGCCCTTATTCCCAGTCGTTACCACTGGCGACAAATGGGAAAAAAATCTAATATGTTGTTAGGTGGCGTCGAGTATGTAACCAGAAATAGAGACGAAATGTTATTTAATTTGTTTGCAAACTATTCTGCCAAATCATTACAGTGACAACTGCGCTCCGATTGGCCAGCCCGAATTCGAAACAATTCACGGGCGTCGTGAATTGTTTCACTACAAATCTATCAGTTCAACTTGGGCTTTGCTATAATGGACGAAAATTGAAAAATTCCATATTTAATATTTAATTACCGATTCAGGTCTTGTGGATATGAGTAGGTGTATCGCTTAATATACGACTTGTAGATACCGTCACTTGATATTATAAAAAAGACCCGTGATCAACGGTGCGCCCTAAATGAGTTGATGATTTTTTTTAAAAGAAGTGCGCATTGACCATATCACCTGATGGAAAGTGACGATGAGGTTCGACGACAGAGCATGCACACCTAAATAACGCCTATTCACTCTCGCCTTGAAAAAGACTAATTTGTAGCGTTCAGGGAACAAGTCTGCAGGCAGGGAATTCCATAAATGTGGTGGCCGTTCCCTATATAAATGTGGAAGTGTAATATTCGTGCGATTCCTTGAATCCATAACCCTAGCCTACGCTAAGCTCTTGACGACGGGAAGGGGAAGGCGGAATTGGCAATTCCATCGCACACTCTCTATGGTATGTCCTTTAGAATACCGATATGCAGGCAACTTTACAGCGATGTAGGTTCACCTCTACCAAATCTAATATTATGTGCTGTCGCGTCCTGACGAGACAGGGCACACCCAAGTATGATATAGTGTTTATTCACAACGTAACCGTTTGTAGTATTCATGACTTTGAACGTGACCTAGAATACATTTGAGCCTACCTTTATATCAAGCAAACATTATGTAAATTTCTTTTCTGAAAACGGTAAAGCGAATAGCGTGACTACGTTTTGCGAATGAGGTTTATTTTTAGATGGTCAATTAATATTCATGATGTATTGTTAATTTCAATGTAGCGGAATTCATGTACATTATACATTATGTCTGTGTCGAAGTTTATATACATTGGCTATTATGATTCTATACTACCTCACTTCGAATTCAAATTCTTCCCGTACTAATACGGTCCAGTTTGCTTGGTCGAGTGGCAGGGACACTGGCTTTGTTTCAGAATGTAAAGCCATTTGAAAAACGTATACGCATGCTGGCAGCAGGGTGAAATAGTGATAGCGTGTATATAGTGGATATATAGTCTAAACCAAATTAGTAGCTATAGAGTTCTTTGTAAAAGAGTTCATCAAAGGAAGTACTGGCACCATATATATTTTTACCACCAGGCAACGTAATGTGCACAATACTGCGTTCCGGTTTTGAAGGGAAAGGGCGCTGGTGAAACTATAGGCACATAAGACTTGTCAACTTTATCTACCATAAAATTTCAATGAACATCGAACTTTGAAACTTTTTAAAAAAATAAGAGGCCGTAAGAGACAGCATTAATGTTGTGAAAAACACAACGCGCTTGCGCGGCCTGGAACACTACCTAGTTAATTGTGTGCATTACATAAACCGGTCCACCGAGACGTGAAGCACACACAATATAATTAGAAACGCGGAGTCAGGGTCGCGGCGGTTAATCCACTTCTACACTGTGATTAATAAGAATGCAACTAGTTAAGTGAATAACATTGTATCGACGTGTTTTCTTTGTAAATATAAAATTAATTTAGAAATTTAAAAATACGCTGCTCCTAATAACGTGCGCATCTACATGTAGTGTTGTTCAGCTTATCGCCCCCTTTAACGTGAATGGATGTAAAGTTAGTCAATTCAAAATGTTATAGAAATTCGTGTTCTATGTTTAACGCAAACAATTCATTTTTATCATTGACTTACAATTATATGGACGTCGGGTCCGCGTTAAAAAGTGTCCGAACTTATAGGGCGTTAAAATCGTATACAGAGCGTCATTCACGCTTTAGTCTTCGTTTGTTCGATTGACAGCGAAGCAAGCAAAATTAGACAGTACTGCGTTGACATTACAATTTAAATTCAACGTTTTAGCTTTTTCATATTCCTTTACATGTCACTACGTTCAAATAGGTTGACTTGGGACATTTTTTTCGTGGTTTTTGTATTAGACCCGTCGTCCATTTATTTGTAAGTTAATGATTTTTATCATAAAACTATAGTCTGTCTTTTTTGAAGACGAAGTAAAATGACAGTTCACTGCGCAAAAGTGTAGTCGGCTTGCGAGCAGCTAAAGATTGCAGGCGATAAATAGTCTATGTACTATCGAGTGAATATTGGTCACGCTTATAGAATAAATAGCCGAACTTGTTTCATTTGAATCATCCTCGACCCATTAATCATCCAATTACTGAGCACAAGTTCATTTGAATTCTAATTTTTTTTAAGTTCATACATACATACGCTGCGTTTAGAACTACGTTTATGAAAAATGCAAAGAGGAGACATATTTTAAGGATTTTTGTTTGAATTAAAATATAATATAGTATAAGGTCAATTCCTATGAAATTTCGAAATTCGTGCTTTCGATATTTATGAAAATTTTTAGGAAGAATTTGTATTTAATGTTTGTCAATGTCATAGTACTTATGTGAATAGTTTTAGATGACATAGTGGTCCCCAAATTAAATAACTTTTAAGAAAATGTATAGGGCAGCCAGAACATTTATGGGTGAGGGAATGACAAGATCAAAACGAATGAAATGGAACATATCTCTTTTTTTTTTGTAGGTTTAGGCTTCTGTCCCACTGAGGACAATTCTGCCAGTATCCGACTTGAAAAATACACGGTTATGTGACAAATTGTACCACGAACGCACTCAAACAACGACGATCGGTTGCACAATCCAATGGACAAAGACAAAACATAAGATAATTTGACTAACTACTTTATGTGAAAACAACAAAAACATGCTGGCTATAATACGTACACATTTCATATACTATACTCCGTTCGACCATTTATTTAACTTTTGACAGCTCGAATTCTTATCAATTAGTGATGTTCTAATGCGTTTCCGATTCGATTTTTTATAACAATGGATTTTATTTATGAAGAAGTTTTAATCGTGAATGTCAGCCGGTTCAAAACAGAAGATATTGTCTCATTGGGATCGTGATGTTGCGATTGACAATTTGTGTACTCAAGAATTAATAATTAATGTTAATGAGCATTTAATTGATGATTCCCGTTCACGTGGAGAAGAATACCACGATTCGTTACATTAAACAATACGAATTTATTATAATTATTTATAATTTGTTCTATTTCATTATAATTTATTAGACAGGTACGAAAATTTATCAACTCGAATAATCTTCGTTACATAATCTGTTGGCTCGATAAATTTCGTAACTAAAAAGCACGTCGCTTCACTAAAATTAAGAAATAAAAGAGTACTTCCTACTGCATTTTTTTGTCTATAGTGGTATGTAAATAATTACGGAACATCGGAGGCATGCGTATGTCAAAAGTTAAAAAAATCCTAATAATTTAGCTAGTTATTTTTGTGACTAACAATGTATTACATGGGAGAGGTTGAGGAAATATAGCGATTGGCCTCTGAAGGTCTTGACTACGCCACCGTATGATAGACAAAATTGAATTCGGAAGGCATTTAGGGATGATTCACCTTTCAAGTATTGCATGTGGTTCAACTCACCGGTTGAGACTGATGAGTTGCGATTTAAGCAGCTTAAAGACGATTCTGGCGTCCTCCTCCATGATGAGGCCGGCTTTGGCCATGTCGTTAGCCACCTCCTCACAGTCGTCATGTACCATGTCGAATTCGAACTGGATCGCTTCGTTCTCTTTGTGAGTGTACGACCTAGGAGAAAACATTTAATAATAATAATAAATAAACTCAATAATAAATAATTTATTTGGCATCCAAGGCTAACTTGTTAGTAAATACAGAAAATTTTAACTGACGACTATTATTAGCAAATATCAAGTGACAGTACGAACAAATTGTGGCAAGTGACACGCCTGTCCTTAACAGTTACAGTGCCACTCAGAGCTTTAAATTGCAAAGTTCTGAGGGGCACTACCTCTGCGCCCGGCACCCAAGTTGACAAGTCCCATGTGCCTGTCATTTCACCAGCACCCTTACCCTTCAAAACCTGAACACAGTAATGCTGTTAGGACTAGAACGCAGTCATCTGGCATCACAGCAAAAAGTCATCTACTCCCGCTTGAGCAAACATCGACGATGCGCTACTATGTGGCGGTAGTCCCGACAGCATCTTGAAACCGTTATTATATTGAACGCGTAAGGCGCCGCGTGCCTTCTGCGTACAGTTAACCCGCAGACCACCCGTGTAGAAGGATTGACCATACGCCTTGATATATGATAGAGTGTCAACGCGCAGGGCGCCGAAAGCCTTCTGCGTGTAGTTAACCCACAGACCACCTATGTAGAACGATTTTTTTAATAATATCAAGCGACGGGACGAACAAGTCGTGCGCGTGATGGCTATACGCCTATCCATAACAGTTGCAGTGCCACTTAAAGCTTTTAATTGCAAAGATCTTAAGGGCACTGCTACTGTGCCCGTCACCCTGAGACATAAGCTGAAAAGTCCCATGTGCTTGACAGCAGAAATAGGTGAGGTGGCAGTATCCAATAATTGTTTCAAATACCATAGACAGAAACCACCTCAAAGAGTTAAATGTGTCACTACCATGCATTTTTACCATCAAAATACGCAGACACTGAGTAATAACTTTTAGTATTAAGTTTTTGTTTCTGTACTTTATTATTTTTGTTTATTTAAATCAGACAACTACCCCATAATAATATATAGTCATTATACGGATGACCCATGTAATAATCTATACGTTAATGACTAACGTACACACATCAAAAGTGTATAGGGATCAAGCAAGCGTTTTTTCCGATTACTTACTGAAAATCAAGCTCTGCTACTACTACTCAAATTTAAGATCTATAAGTTACTGCAAAAGCTTCAGTAAATCCTAAGATTTTCCAGTAAAACTTTTAAAATGATTAAAAATATTTACCATCTCTCAATGGTAAAGTCCGATCATTTTTGTGATTATGGTTCATTTCGAACTGTTACCATCATTCACTGTCCCTCACAGTTGCAGTGCCACCCAGACACACGATTTGTTCGTCCCTTCTACTTCACTGTATATAAGGTCACCGTGAAAACTTCAATAATATTTTTAACCGACTTCAAAAAAGGAGGAGGTTCTCAATTCGACTGTGTGTTCTTTTTTTTTGTATGTATGTTACGCGATAACTCCGGCATTTGTGAACCGATTTTCATGATTCTTTTTTTGTCGGAAAGGGGGAACTTCCATAGTGGTCCCATTTCATTTTGAAGAAAATCATCCACCTCGAAGGGTGGCTGTTCACGCACGAAGATTCATTTTTATAAATAGTGCCTAACTTTAATATAGGAGCAATTACTTTAATGCTTGATTTTGCTATTTCTTCAATTCAAGGCGTTTTTCTCTCAATATACTTTGAGTAGTTTCGTAGTGAGAACCTATTTTTATTGTCTCCAGTGTCAAGTCCTGTATAGTGGCGAACTAAAACTATATTTCATAACTATATTTCAATAAAACTTAGCAAATAGACGTAATTCCACGTACTTTTGAGGTCGGTTGTTTTAGTACTCTGTACTGAGATTACTTACGAATAGATATAACCTCATATGGCTTTGGTTGATTCCGAATAGCAGTGAAAGTGTTGAACGATATACACTGATTACTACACAATGTGACAATACGATTCGTAAAAATGTTCACGATACAAAAAAAAACCCAAACTTACCTCGAAATTTTACAAGAAAACCGGTGTACTCAAATATTGAATACAGCTGTTTTTACGTAATATTTACACCATTTTTTTTATATGTACTGAATTAAATAGATCGCGTACAGTACATGATATACATTTATCAAACGGCTTTAATTTCATTTGAAAAAAAAAAATCTGATACAAAGCCAATTTAGCCAAACCGTATTAGTACGGGAAAAACTTGCATTCGAGCTGTAGTAGTATAGACTCCTAATTGCGAAACTACTACCTACCGTTTCTTGGGGTCGATGATCTTCAATCGGAACTGTATTTTGTTGACGTCTGTGGAGGTAACCACGTCTCGACCGACAATCTCCAGCCGCAAGCCGATATCCTCGCCGAAGAACTCGTGGTTTAACAGATCTTTCACCTTTGGCCTGTGTAGAAAATTTACGTAAATGTTGAATATAAATACAGAGGCCCTAATAATAATTCAAAATGAACTCGATATGAAATGTGGTTGGGGTATATGTATGATGAAGTGGTTATTTTTTTTAAATATATTTCTGTTTACTATAACTCAACAAGCGTAATTCGTGCAAGCTATTTATTTCTCAAAAAAGAATACATATATAATGAGAAATACTAGATATACAGGCTGTATATTTGAAAGTGAGACATATTCATACATGTCATAGTAAATCATGTTACAACTTAACATAGACTAAAATAAAATTAGGATATGGGATAGAACAAAAAATAAATCAACAAATGTGTTTTGAAGTGTAGATAGGAATAAACCGATTCCCTTTACGCTTAATTTCGAGTGTAATGGGAATGCTACCAAGCGAGCGCCTAGTGAGACAGCAACAATAACAATGATTTCACATTTACGTTTTAGGTTATGTTAATTGTTTTTTACTTGAACTATCATCGAAATGTTTTAGTAAGTAGTTATCATTTAATAAGAATTGAGGTTTTTGGCGTAGTTAAAAATGTGAAATCAAATTAATTACAATGATTGATTTTTTAGTTATTTACAGTTTATTTACACTTACGTGGTACGGAGCAAGTGTTCAAAATGTCCACCGTTTTCCACAATGCATAGTCTAGCACGGCATAGTAAATTTTGTTTTAAATTGTACAACACAAACACATTTTGTCTCACAGTATAAAATGCTGAGATAATCCTCTCACGCAACGCTTCGACACTGTTCACCTCTTTCGCGTAAACTCCGATTTGGGAACATTTCAATAGCTTGCCTCACACTATCACCACTTATTGCGTAAAGTCGCACCATCTCAGTCAATTCCACGTTAGAATAAATACCCATTTTGCGGCGATCGGGCGAGCGGAAGGACAAATAATTTACGTGTCTTCGTTAGATCAAGGTCGCGCGTGGACTGAAAAATTTCGCGTATGCGCTATAAGTATGCGCGCGTATAAGTATGCGCCCGCGTCCCGTCCTCACCCCCGACCTGTGCTTTGCTTTTCGCCGCTGCGTCGGAGCAATAATAGTGATGTGCATAGATTTCGATAACTAATGTTGTGCTCAAGTAGTAGTCGATAAAAAAATAAAATAAAATATTTTTTGTAAAGTTTAAGTTCATTAGTTTATTATTTCTTTGGGTTGAGAATCAGGAATAGAACGCACTCTATAAGTATGTCCCACTTTCAAATATACAGCCTGTATAAGCTTACAAAAATGGACATCGGAGATGTTACATAAACACATCGAGTATATAACCAGAAATAGAGACGAAATGTCATTTAGTTTGTTTGAAAACTATTCTGCCATATCATTACTGTGACAACTGCGCTCCGATTGGCCAGTCCGAATTCGAAACAATTGACGGGTGTCGTCAATAGGTGTCATCAATTGTTTCACTACAAATCGACCAGTTAACTTGAGCTATGCTATAATGGACGAAAATTGCAAAATTACATATTTAATATTTAATTACTTTGTAATTAGATGTTTGCTGTTTCTCCCCACACCACCGAGTGGAACAGCATCCCATTGTTAGAGATATTATATTTATTACAATAAACACAGAATATTTTTGGACTATACGGAGGCGTACACAGAGGTCAGTTGTTGGCACTGTACTATTTCAGCTTTCCAATTTGTAATTTCAGTGCAAACGATAGTTGGTATTTATAAGTGATGTATCACTGATGAGTAACCAGGAATATATGGCTCTTATTTCGTCTCTATTTCTGGTTATATACTCGATGCATAAACATATCGGAACATTATAATATTCACATTCATAGAATGCTGTTGCATAGTCCGAAAATAATGTCTTGAAATATTTTTTTTTAAGAATTTAGCCCCTTCTTAGGTGACAAGGCGGAGAGTTCACATCATGGATGGATACACAATTTCTATAATCCTAAGCAGCAAAAGCGTTATTTAGGCTCAATTTACATTCCCACTGAACAGAAAGGAAGTAATTTTTGTTACGACATTACATATAGCATAACCAACTTTATGTCAATTGTGTAACGTATTTATTACGTTGAATATCGTCTTCACAGCAACGGAACAAGATCCGTCAAGCTTGTTGTGCTGGCGTCTGTACTAGCTAGATACGATACGTCCAGTCCATCGATCATTTATTTTACTTTTGACAGCTCGCCTACTAATCAATTAGTGAGGTCCTAATGCGTTACCGATTCGAATTTCTTATGACAATCGATTTTATTTATGAAGAAGTATTAATCGTAATTTGCATTCATTCAAAAACAATAAATTGTTGAACAACGATAGCTTATAAAATAAAAAAAGTTTTAATCGACTCAACACGTTGACATTTACAACATTATACTAGTTATTAAGCCTTAGTTAATAAACCAATAGAATTGATTATAATTATTTCAAATTTATTTATTTTCATTATAATTTATTAGATAGGTCACAAAACCTATACAACGGAGAAATCAACTTGAATAATCTTCGTTGCATAATCTTTCGGTTTAATAAATATCGGAATTGGAGCTAAAGAGCGCATCGCTTCATTGTAGTGACGAAAAATCAGAGTCCCTTTAATATTGCATTTTTTTAGTACTGCTTTTTTGTAATTATTATACAACGAGCATTGAACGAGAAATAGAGACAAAATAAGGGCCATGTATTCCTGGTAAGACATTAGCTATACAGCTCTTATAAATATCTGTCTCTGGCTCTTATAAATATCAGGTGTTTAAACGACACACCTGTCCATAACAGTTGCAGTGCCACTCGGAGCTTTAAATCGCATAGATCTGAGGGGCACTGCTATTGCGCCCGTACAAAGTCCCAAGTACCTGTCATTTCACTCGCACCCGTTAAGGGTAACTTAAAAACCGGAACGCAGTAATGCTCTTGTTGCCGCTTGGCGGTAGAAATAGCTAAGGTGGCAGTACTTCCCTGGACGAACTCTTACAAGGAGCTCTACTGCTACTTAAAATTGGTGCAAATAACAATTCCCCAGCTATAATTTATGCTATAATAACAAAAGTTCGCTGCTTTTTCGTTACGCCGCAATGTAAATTGAGCCTTAGGGTTATGTCGCTATCAAAACGTTATTTCCTGCCATCGAGTATATAACTAGAAACAGAGTCGAAACAAGAGCCATCCATCCCTGGCAAGTCATCAGGCAAATGGGCCTTATATCACTTTTAAATATCAACTCTCGTTTGCGCTGAAATCACAAATTAGAAAGCTGTAATAGCACAGCGCCAACAACTCACCTGCGTGTACGTCTCCGTATATGCCAAAAATATTCTGTATTTATTGTAATAAAGATAATATCTCCAACAATGGGGGCTGTTCCATTAAGTGGTGTGGGAAAAACAGTAAAACATCTAATTACAAAACAAACAGAATCACATGCCATCCGTAATTATTTATTCACGACACCCGCCAATTGTTTCGAATTCGGGCTGGCCAATCGGAGCGCAGTTGCCACCGTACAGTTGTTCACCGTAATGATTTGGCAGAATAGTTTTCAAACAAATTAAATGACATTTTGTCTCTACTCGATGTTTCCTCCTAAACTTGAATTTAAAAAATTATAAGAATACCTGTCCTTCTTATCCGGCCGTATGCACTGCTCGATGATGTCTCGAACTTCAGGGATTGTGACTTTCTCCAAACTCTGAGGTTTTACTCCCTACACAGAACAAAATTCGCATTCAAACAAATAGAAAATCGAAAGATAGAGTAGACAATAATTCCACACACTAATAGGGCTTATTATTCGGAATAACTAACATAATAATTAAATTTTTTTGACAACCATATTGATTACCTGGTATTAAATTAGAGAATTATCTTTTTTTTCTTTAATATATGAATATGAGAGCAACAGAATTCACTGTCAAGACGGAACCCAGAACACCCACACAAGAATCAATGTAGAAAGGTCCAATTTTTGCTAATTGGTCCTACCAGGAATCGAACCTTGGATCTCGTGAAATCAAATTTTAAGTAATGAAAAAACGCTGGCGCTGCTTCGACCATAGTAGAAATAGTTTTTTTTTTCTATAACTAATGACAATACATTCCTCTAGCCCATGCGTCATGTCCGTAAACAATTATAATAAACTGCCTAATAGACTGAAAAATGAAACCAACGAAAAAGGTAAATTCCAAAACAGCCCCTTACTCTCTTCCCTTCTACTTTGTTGTGCCCGAGAGGGTCCACGATGTGGTCCTTGTACTATATAATACCTACTGTATACCATTGTGGAATGCAAATAAACATATTGAATTGAGAAGAAAAAAGCCCGAGGGTTTTATTTGGAGCATTACATTCAAATTAGCCTGCATGCATATCATACTAATTACTCGCAAATATGATTAAAAACATTGTATGTTTCACGGTCGGTACGGGAATTACGAACCTCGACTCCGAAAACCCTAAGTCTTCGATTTCGGGCTTCTAAGTTTCGTTCGTAATTCCTTATTTACCGCCCTTAATATACCACATTAACTAGCTACGGCATTATTGACCACTTGCACTAAACTTAAGTACGGCTTAAACCAAAACTTGCAATGCAAAAGACACGCAAGATATTGTCTTAAGAGTGTCTTATCAATTTAAGCATTGGTGTAAGATAAAGTTTAGTACAAGTGGACATTAGAATAATATAAACGGGAAGCTGTACATAATTATTTTATCACCTCACTAGCTCGGAAAGGCTTTCTTTGTCGTTATAAATCTGCGCGCAAAAACTTTTTGAAATTCGAACATGACGATGGACCGTGATGCACCAAATTTTTTCATCCGATGAAAAATAAAACATAATAACACGTTCAAATATGCGATTTGTCACACATTATTTATGTAATATAAATCCGTTATATATTGTTTTTTATTATTATTGTTGACATTTCTTTCATCTACCATTTTCCTCGCTATAGTGAGGTGAAATGTTGTCTATTTCGCTCGGCAGCAAAATTGTTTTGCGTGAAAAAGTAACCCACTGACCGAAACAACTTTCTTGTAGATCTGCGCGGGCCCGCTGCACTCGCTGTACGGGTACTCGCCCGTGGCCATCTCGAGCATGCACATGCCGAAGGCGTACACGTCCACCGACTCGTCGTAGTGCTCCTCGTACATCTCCGGTGCCATGAACTCCGGTGTTCCTGTGGGGAGGTTTGGAGTTTCAACAGAACTTGTCACATCATCAACAACCCTTTACCTGGGCACGGGTGTCTTTCAAGGTGACCGTTTAGACTACAGCATAATACACTATAACACTAACACAATTATGTTTTGATTTTTGTCTTGAAAACAGTAAAAATATACGTACACACCTGAACCTTGATTTTAATTCGAATCTGGGGGTCTACTCTCGTTCAAGCGTATAAGACGCATGATGCGAAAGAAACTTCATACTTGACGTCGTCTTTTAATTTGGTCGAGTATTACTTATTTGACAGTTATTTATTCGGACGGACGTCTGACGGGTCGGAGAATGAGAGTAGGCCCTCTGAATCGATCCGATCGGGTAGCCCATCCGAGTCACGAAATCAGATGGGTTTCCGAACGAGAAGATGAACCTGATTCCTATATCTTTCTAATTTATGAGTTAAATCAACTATTGTTCCGATTTGGAACGTCAAAAGTTTCCTATCGGCAAGTTGTGAATAGCAATTATGCGCCTCGACTCGGAAGGGACGCAGTTTCCGATCTGGAGAAGCAATCAAAATCAAACTGAAGATATTATATTCTGTGGCTCTAGTGAAAACTTGTACCTCAACTCAAAAAAGCCAACTTAACAAGGAAACGCAAAAATACTTAACGCCTAATACCTTAATAAGTTTTAACAGTCTTTCGCGTCTCCTTGTAAAGTTGACTTTTTTGACTTATACCCCTTTTCACTAGAGCCACAATATATGGCCATGGATACCAATTAATTCCTCTTTAATATGAAATATTATAAGTCGTCAACTTGTTTTCGTTGTAATATTATTAAATATGATCTTGATCTAAAATTGTTTACTGAACTTTGACAAATGTGCGTGACAACAGATGGCACTACGTGTTACAAAAAATTAACAATTTAAAAATTAACGATTCCTTATAAATCGACCCTTCCTACGTAAAGTATCGTATGTCGAAATTGTCAAGTTTACAGGGGAGCTTTTTAAAGTTTTGAATTCATTGAAATGTGCATGACACGTGACTTTAGCATTTCTCAGTTTTAATCGGCAAAGCTAGTTACTCACATTGAGTATTATAAAATCCTAGATATCAATTAGATGTACAACCACAATTTACTTTATAATTTTATATTAACGCGGATGTGCGTCAACAAGCGGGTAAACTGAAGTTAATTAAGTGTAGTGAAGTGGACGGGTCGGGTGACAGTATAAAATTATAAAATAAATTGTGGTTGTTCATCTAACCGATATCTAGGCTTTGATAATACTCTATGTGCTTTGTCGAATAAAACTCGGAAATGCTAAAGTCATGTACTATGCCCATTTCAATGAATTCAAAACTTTAAAACGCTCCCCTGTAAACTTGGCAATTTCGACATACGATACTTTACGTGGGAGGGGTCGAAATGGTGCTAATCCTAATAAAAATAAAAGAATGACCGTTACTATCCATAAAAACAAAAAGCGCCATCTAGTTGATTTGTTTGTTATTACTAGAAATTAGAGTAGCTTCGATAACTTGCAGCTCGTCAATGTGAAACAAATTACTTACAAAAATAGCTATTTTGTACTCGTCGCGACATCTGGTGTATGAATAGGTACTAAATACCTAACTATAGTCTGTCTTTTTGAAGATGGAGTAAGAGCAGCTAGTCGATAAATACTCAATCGACTATCGAATAAATATTGGTCACGCTTACGGAATAAATAGCCTATTATAATAGGCGATTCATTTGAATCATCCTCGACCCATTATTCATCCAATTATTAAGCACAAGTTCATTTGAATTGTCAATTTTTGCAAGTTCATACATACACTGTATTTAGAACTATGTTTATGAAAAATAAAAAGAGGAGACAATATAGCTAATCAAATCCGGCTACTTTTGTTAAAATGTATATCAATAAAAATTCGTCTCGATACGAGAAGGCCAACCGTCAAAATAAGAATAAAGAAGGCAATAACGCAATCAGTAATCATTAGAACGTCGTAACATTCACAATTCAATTATTTTTGGCACAATTTTATATTCTTTAACAGTCTATCGACAAAACTATCGACAACAACTACATAACTATTTAAATTTTTATGAAAACAGGCAGCCCTGTAAATGTCAGACAGGAAAGACAGTCAGACTATACGCTGTCCTGTATCGCAATTTGCAGTCCTCCGGAGTTATTGATCCATGGTATTATTAACAAATTATATTCGGCGTTTATACTGAAAATTAAAGTGACTAACCTATAACGGACTTGGCGAAGCTCCGGTTCTTGAGCGTGGCCAATCCCAAGTCGCCAATCTTTACGCTGCCAGTCGTCCCCGTTATGAAGATGTTGTCGCATTTCAGATCTCTGCAAATACAATGTAAAAATTAAAAAGACGATTTAAATACACATAAGTAAAATAATAACTATGTTAATTATATTTCGCTTATTCTCGGTATCAATCGAGTTACGTTTCACTACTGAACACGGAGCCTCATAAAATTCATAAAATGTGGCAACGCTTCCCTGGACGAATTCTTTTACAAGGAGCTCTACTGCTACTAAAAACCTCGATGGGAACTATGCATTATGTTTATGAAAAATACAATTGAGACATATTTTCATTGACTTACAATTATATGGACGTCGGGTCCGCGCTAAAAAGTGTCCACACTTGTAAGGCGCTAAAATCGTATACAGAGCGCCAAACTCCGCTTTAGTCTTCATTTGTTCTACTGACAGCGCGATACTGCGATGACATTACAATTTAAATTTCGAATAGGTCGACTTGGGACATTTTTTTCGTGGTTTTTGTATTAGACCCGTCGTCCATTTATTTGTAAGTCAATGCATATTTTAAAGTTTTTCATTTTAAATCCATATAGATGATCAAATCCGCCTATTATTAAAATGTAGATGAATAAAAATTTATTTCGATACTACTAGGCAAACTGACAAAATAAGAATAAAGAAAGCAATAACGCAATTAGTAACCAATAGAACGTTGTAACATTCACAATTCAGACATTAGTAGCAAAGTTTTACCTTCTATTAATCTATCGATAAAACTATCGACAACAACTACATCATTATTTAAAATGTTATGAAAACTGGCAACCCTGCTAAAGTCATTTTAGTCCGTCTTCAAAAGACTATAAATATTTATAAACGTACGTAAATTAGAAATTCATGGGTATGGGATGCCATAGGGATTCGAACCGACGTCCTTTCAATTTAAAAGCAACCGTTCTCCCATTGGTCTACCAGCGTTCGGAACTAACCTTGCTATCACTCCAAGAGCCAACCTCTTAGAGTTTCTTAATCATTCTTCTCATGACCTTGGTAGGAATGTTTAATTGATCGGACAATTTTAAGTAAAAATTGCTTACCTCTGAAATAAGGATACTCTTGGTTTTTATTTTTAATTGAACTGTGAGACGATTTTAATGTCAAGGTCAAATAATCATTTATTCCATAGGTAAAATTTTTACACTTGAAAACATAATTTTTTTTAAGCTACTGCTCGTTAACTACGCTAATACAAACAATGTCGTTTAAATGATCGTCAAAAAGATCAACCACACTTAGGTTGCTGACAGATTACATGTTTGCAATTTCTTTAAGTTGATTACGACATGAAACATTCAGTCTGTTAGCAGCATTACTTAAGGTCATATGGCTTAAGATATGGATAAGGTAAACAAACTGATCGCGACATAGCACGCTCTAATTGTAACCGAGGAAGGAAAACCGCGCCGCGGTCGATGCATGGTTCTGTTAAACCTTTTTAACTTGGAAATAGAGTTACCTGTGAATGATAGGCGGAGTTCTCGAATGCAAGAAGTTGAGCCCCTTTAGTATCTGCCGGCACCAGGACTTCAGCACTTTCGGATTGATGCGCTTGAAGCGGCGGAGATAACTGCAAAATATATTTTTACGTGTTACTTCACAATGCACTACTTCAACATGATTAACCTTCCTCCCACCGCCGAGCACGAGTTTTCTCTAAGAGAAAGTTAAATTTTTTATGACACCAATTGACAAGACATACAAGTGCGATTAGCAACTCGCCCGAAACAGTTGCAGTGCCACTCCCTAGCTGCAAATGGCAATGATCAGATGGATACTCGCTGCATTTGGTTTGACTGACACGGTACCTCGCGCAGAGTATTACAAAATGTTAGAGGCAGTATTTTTCTTAAAGAAAAACGTTTAAATAATGTAGTGTTTTTTTCACATAATCGGTATGGGTATCGGCTACTCATTTTCCTCTTTAAATATTTATTTCGTTCAACCTGTCACCTCGTATATGAAAATGACGATTAGTATACCAGGACCCCAATTCAGAACTCTTCGATATCTTAACCGAATCCTTCGATAGAATATCGTTCTCGAAGGGCGCTTTCAGAGCTATACAGAACATTCGACTTAAAACATTCGATTCGGATTCAGATACGATATAGTTATCCAACAACGTTTATGGAGTTAGTCGGCGAATATAGATTATAAGAAAAATTATATTCTATTACATACATTTTTAAGACTTTGAAGGCCTAAAATATAGGAATGCATTAGTCTCGTATTAAAATAAATAAAAATTTAACAAAATCCAGATTTTATTTAAAATAATAAAAGATTTTCATATTATATTTTTGCTTTGTATACTATAGGACGTTCTGTAACTTTCATTCGATAACTGTGTTCTGAATAACGTTTATAGCCTTTGCTACAGCATTTGCTATATCATCGAGTATATAACCAGAAATAGAGACCAAATTCCTGGTAACACATTAGCGATACAGCTCTTATAAATATCAACTCCCGTTTGCACTGAAATATAGTCAGGCCAACTACTGACCTGTGTAAAATAATATCTCTAATAATGCCGTGCTGTTCTATTCGGTGGTGTGGGAACATCTAATTACAAAACAAACGGAATCACATTTCATCGGTAATTAAATATGTAATTTTGCAATTTTCATCCATTACAGCAAAGCTCAACTTAAGTGGTCGATTTGAAGAGAAACAGTTGACGACACCCATTGACGACACCCGTCAAATGTTTCGAACTCAGGCTAGCCAATCGGAGCGCAGTTGTCACAGTAATGATATGGCAGAATAGTTTTCAAACAAATTAAATGACGTTTCGTCTCTATTTCTGGTTATATACTCGATGGCTATAGTCGAGAAGTATGAGTAATCGAACGGGTGTGACGTCATTTCAGTTCGGTTTCGAATTCGACAGTTTGACGTCCGAATCGGTTATTGTGAATAAAAATGAAAAAGATATTGTACGATATCTAACCGAATCCGTCGACAACACTTATCCTTAGGTTCTGAATCGACCTGCATTTTCCAAATGGCATTATTGTTTTTAATCAATCGATCATCAAACGCTTGTTAAGCTTATGATATTTCCGTAGCTCTAATGGAAAGGGGTACTAGTAAAAAAAAAACCAACTTTACAATGCGAAAAACAGTTAAAGCTTAATATGATATTACGCGTCAAGTGTTTTTCGCGTTTCCTTTTAAAGTTGGCATTTTTTACTTGTACCCCTTTTTAATACTGAAAATGCGAGGCGGTTCCAATTATGTGTCCGACAGTGTAATTTACTCACGCTTTGAGCGTCCCAGAGAGCATAAGTTCAGTGATAAGCACGATGTTCTTTTTCTTAGCAACAGTTCCTTCCCAGTAATTGTAGAACCGCACGATGTTCGGGTGTTGCAGCTTCTTCAGCATGTCCGCTTCCTCGCGGAAACGAAGACGCTCGGTTTTGTTTAGTTTTTTCTCCTGAAAATATAATAATTTCAATTTTAAAAATTCTTCGAAAGTTTTACTCCAGGCCCTCGTCCACTCAGGGTGATCTACACACCTATTCCAATAAACAAAACCTAATTTAAGGTTAACGTAGTTATCACTTTTATTATCAAAAAGAAAAGAACAGGGAATTTAATTAGTTTCTTTTTTTAATAACGGACACACGCTTGGTCGCAACCTCACCTGATTGTACGCGTTTGTCTAACAAATGCCTATTCACTTTAACCTTGAATAGCCCCAAATTGTAATTTTCGAGAAACACAGACTATTCCTTTAGTATTCTTTATTTTCCTTTCGAGTTTTGAGCTTCATTCATTGCCCATAAGCTGACCCGGTCAATAGATGCTTGCGTACAAAAACTACATTAGTTTTAAATTATGCGTCATAAACCAATCTTAATTTTAATTTTAAAAAAAATGAAAAAATTCGAACTTGTAACAAGGCAAAAAAGATTTGATATGAAATATATTTTTAATTGTGTGAAAACCCTAGTTAAGTCATTGGCAGACTTTCTGTCAAAATAAAAAATCGTCATACTCGTGCACAATCCCTGCGCAGTCAGTTGTTACTACAACATTGTCTCGACCGAAATCGTTCTCTGGGTGATCAACAATAAATACAAAACACACAAAATATTTTGCACAAAAATATTTTTTCACCCACCTCGTTGCAGAACAGTATTAGGTTCCAATTACCCCATAGCTCATATGCCTAATTTATATAATGTCTGCTCCAAACAAGTGGATATTTCCGTTGACTCACTGCTAGGTTTCAAAAACAAAATTCTTAATTTTCTTGGTTCGGGCACATAGCATTCTATTTTTTTAACATCAAGTGCGAACGTACGAACAAGTCATGCGCCTGATGGTAAGCTACACGCCTGTCCATAACAGTAGCAGTGCCACTCAAGGCTTTAAATTGCAAAGATCTGAGGGGCACTACCACTGCGCCCGTCACCCTGACACATACGTTAACAAGTCCCATTTGCCTGTAATTTCACCAGCACCCTTACCCTTCAAAACCGGAACACAGTAATGCTGACATTACTGCTTAGCGGCAGAAATCGGTAAGGTGGCAGTACTACCCTGGACGTACTCTTTCACAATTTTTGATACTTTTCTAAACATTGTTTAAACATTCTTCTTTGCATAAAGTGCTCACCTATAATTAGTTACGCAATTAGACTAAGTCTTTGAAATGTATTAATACCTACATGAAATATTGTAGTAACTGCCTAACAAATAAATAAATAAATCAATAAACATTCATTTATTATACAAAAATCTTTTTTTTTCTTCCTTAATTCCCAGTACTCACAATAAAGCGACACATACCATTGTACACATATTATAAGTACACATATTTTTCTATAAATCTAGCCATACGTCATTCTGTACGCAGTGGATATAGTTGTTATACTTTAGTAGGCCATGATTTTTGATAGCAGTCTCCGTTTTGACTTTGACAGTATTGTTAGAATGTGGTCTTGACAACTTTTATTTTTATGATACCATGTGTCCGAACGAACAAGTCGTGTCAACTGAAAATTAACAGTTGCAGTGGCACTCAGAGATATTTAAATCGCAAAGATCTGAGGGGCACTCCCACTGCGCTCGTCGTCTTGAGACATAAATTCAGCAGCTTGCTTCTGGGCGGTGATTGACTCAACCTTATATAGTGACTATGGCTTACATAATTAGTTATTGTTAATGTTAGTGTAAGTTGTACAATACGAAAAAATTAATGAATAAAGTCCCATGGGCTTGTAATTTCACCAGCTCCCTTACCCTTCGAAACCGGAACGCAGTAATGCTGACATTACTGTTTGGCGGCAGAAATAAACAAACTCTTTCACAAGGAACTATACTACTAAAACGTGTGGATACTCACGAGCAGCTCGCACCAGGCGACGGCCACGCCAGTCTGCGTGTCGAGGCCGTGATACACCGTCTTGAAAGACCCGCGGCCGACTTCTTTGTCGTACTTGAAGAACCTGAAACGTAATGTAGTGAATTTCTTTTTTAATGCCAATGGTTAACATAGGTTTACCAATAAATGTCTATGTTTATAAACATGGAAGTGAATTTATTTGCTACTCCGCGAACCCAGCGAAGGTTAACTCGTTTTTTTAATGGTACCAAGAGACAGGATGAACAAGTCGTGCGCCTGGCGTTAAGCGACACGCCTGTCCATAACAATTGTAGTGCCGCTAAGTCTAAAGCAAAAGTCTGAAGATCACTGCCACTGCGTCGGTAACTCTGAGACATAAGTTGAAAGTCCCATGTGCCTGTAATTTCACCAGCACCCTTACCCTTTAAAATCGAAACGCAGTAATGCTCACATCATTGCTTGGCGACAGAAACATGGTTAGGCAGAACTTCTGTTTAGGGGGTTTATTCAAATTGAATCCACACCTAAACTTGTACAATGAAAAGTACATGGGTTTTTGAAATCAATAACATTAATAAGCACACTTGAAGGTGTTCGGATGACCAGTTTCCGGTTGCTGACATACGGGGGTTGTTCACCCGTCGTTTGTAAACATAAAAAAAGACAAGTCATAATTTTTTCTGACGATATTCAATAACAAGTTTGTGTGATATGACACAAGCATATGATAAGTCATACTAACAACAAATAACTATTTGTTATGCAAGGCTGCAAAGATGTCGTTTGACGCGAGTGCTTGTATTGAAACCGGAGCAATCGAAGACGCTAAGATTGATTTCAAGACACGAGAAGCAAAATAACTTTGCTGCCGAGCGAAATACATAACTTTTCATCTCACTATAGCGAGGAAAATGGTAGATGACAGAAAAACAGTTGAACTATACAAAATGATAAATAATAATTGATCGAAAAAAGTGCCAAATGGCTTGTGTATTCATTTCAATTATGAATGAAATAGTTTTTTTTTATTATCGTTTCTCATAACAACAATTGACCAATTTGGCAGGCACTTTTTTCAATCAACTTGTTATTGAATAACGTCAGAGAAATCTTGGTGAAATTATCCCGTGTACAGTGCGACATAACTGTTACGTAAACTGTCACCCCTCCCGCACCTCACAGCTACCTCAGGAATCGTCACAGTTAAGTGGTAGGCCTGTAGTATTGAAACAGCCCTATCATAAACGTCCAGAATATTACCTGCCGCAGGGCGACACTCCGATGGGCTCCTCCTCATCCTCTTTATCCTGCTTCTGCTTATCCTGCTGTTGTTCCAGTTGACTTAGTTTATCCAGCTCTATGTAACCTGCAACCCAATGATATCTGAATAATCTTAACGAATCAACAGAGACATTCTTTCTCATTCGTACGTTTACTCCAGGACTTTCATGTATGTACCAACACATTATACGCCCCACTATTGGGCACCAGTCTCCTCTAAAAAAGAGAGTTTTAGGCCATAGTCCGACGCGGTGATTAATGCAGGTTTTGTAAAGGTTTTTAACTTTCATCTACATGCAAGTTCAGTACCAATATCTCCTTGTGAAAGAGTTCTTCTAGGGAAATACTGCCACCTTACCTCTTTCTGCCGCCAGGCAGTAATGTCAGCATTACTGTGTTCCGGTTTTGAAGGGTAAGGGTGCTGGTGAAATTACAGGCACATGGGACTTGTCAACTTATGTCTCAAGGTGACGGGCACAGTGGCAGTGTCTTTTAGATCTTTGCGATTTTAAGCTCTGAGTGGCACTGCAACTGTTATGGACAGGCGTGTAGCTTACCATCAGGCGCACGACTTGTACGTCTCGTCACTTGATATTATAAAAAAAAACTTGATATCAGCAGCCATTTACATAGTATAGATAGATTTAGGGTCCCATTCTAGAACTCTACTCAATGCTTAAGTCAGGACTTGAGTATGATTCAAAGCACTAGAAATCATACTCAAGTCCCGGCCATTAGGGTCGTATTTCCAGTGCTTGTGTTGCCAGTGCAATCCCGACTTGAGCATTGAATAGAGTTCTAGAGTACGACGTTAGATTTTTATTCTAGATTTTCTCATAGTTACGATCTGTTAACACGGAGATTAGCGACCCTGTTAAGTTATTGATCCATGATGTAGATGTCCGTTACAATTATTAGGATTGATCACTTGGACCAAGAATTATGCCTATTTAAAATTCTAATTCATATTACTGTTCTATGTGACATTATGTTATGCTCTCTATTATTATTTTTGTGTGATTATGGTAAGCTGCACGCCAGTCCATAACAGTTGCAGTGCCACTCAGAGCTTTAAATCGCAAAGATCTGAGGGGCACTGCCACTGCACCCGTCACCCAGAGATCTAAGTTGACAAGATCAATGTGCCTATAATTTCACCAGCACCCGTACTCTTCAAAACCGGAACACAGTAATGCTGACATTACTGCTTGGCGGCACAAATAGGTAAGGCAGTGCTTCCCTGGGCGAGCTCTTTCACAAGAAGCTCTACTGCTAGTTTAAAGTATTATTGAAAGTAGCGTAAAGCGTACTAAAAACGTAAATAAACCAGACCGTTCTGTTTTTCCTGTGGCTGTTCCTCCCCTTCCTCGTCGGGCGGCAGGCACTTCTCCGCCGTCGCGATTTCGATGTTCTCCTCCTGGGATTTTAATACTTTTATTATAGCAACTGTAGGAGGAGTATTTTTGAGTTTTTAGGAGCTGAAGGGTGTCGTATACCGGCGCTTCCATAGTCGGTTACCAGACACCATATTGCGCCACGTGTCGCCGACAAGCGCTAATAAATTAGTTATTTCGTTTTTATATTATATTACATGTATGTTAGACAATAAGGTATATAATATATAGGGTTATTTCATGATTTAAATATATAAACAAAAATTAAAAAAAGAGAAAAAACTTTATACCAAAAGTTATTATATATACAGAGCGTCTCACGGCTATGCCACACGGAGGGAAAGTATCTTATATACTATACTAAAATACCTATACTATACTAAAATGTTCGTACTTACCCACCGTGTATTTGAATTTAAAAAAAATGCCTGGTAGTGAGCCATTTAACTTTTTCAGATGGTTTCTATCTATGCTATTTAAAATAATTATTATAAATGATGAATGAGGCTATCAGTGCAATAATGATGTAACTCACATTTTTTTCTATAATTACTTTCAATGATACTAAGCATATAATTGTTCAATAATTGGATGCTATTGTAGTTCAAAAAATAAAAAAAAAACATGTAAGTTACACCACTTTTGTGCTGATAGCCTCAAATGTGTACAAATGGCCATGTGAATTTTATGTTAAGTTTTGGGTTCACTATAGTTTTATATATGTTTGCCTGGACTTCAGAATCCGATAGTGGCAATGTACAATGAACTTTCGACGATTTAGCCCTAGGTAACTGACCAGATCCTGCTCCGAGAGGAAGGGGTCGTCTTCCAGCCTGGCCACGAGCTTGTTTCCGCTCTCATCCAGTTCGGGATCGCACAAGGCGCCCTGGCCGGAGCTTCGGCGCCGAAAACCGCCGACAACGCCCACGCCTGATTGGTTCGCCTGCAATGGACAACAAACAAGATTGGTTGAGATTCTTTTTACATAAATATAATATATAATTTTATACTTATAGTATGTATACTATGTGTGGGCAGTAAATAAGAAATTACGAACGAGACTCTATTACAAGCCCGAAGTCGAAGACTGAGGGCGTTCGGAGTCGAAGTTTGTATATCCCATGCCGCCCGTGATACACAATGTTTTTCATCACACTTGGACGTAAATACTATGATTGCATGCAGGCTAACTGGACTATAACGCCCCAAATAAAACCCTCGGATCTTACCGAGCAAGATGCATGCATGCATCATCGCATCATGCACCATGTACCTGCATGCAATCACACTATTTACATGCAAGTGTGATGAAAAAGTTTCTTTTTTTAGGGAAACTGACATGAACATGGAAGACTTTTATGAGATTGATAGATGCAGGCGTTACTTTGTAGAAGTCGTTGCTAAAATAAATGGATGTAAATAATAATAATAATATAACAATATGTGCCAGACGACCACACCAATTGCCTGGTCTCAAACTAGGGAATTCCCTGTATTATAAGTACCAGAGCTCGGTCGAAGAACGTTTGTCTTATTTATTTTATTAATTATATGCGGAGAAAGGGTGGTTAAAATTAAATGCATGAAAAAAAAATCAACACGGGCACTGCCATTTTGTACAATTTAATCGTGAACAACAAAAATAATTTATTAATTATTTATTTTAATTGTATCGCAATTCTATATCAATAATTTGTAATGTTGCCTAAGCTTGTGGGTATTTTGGATACGCTCTGTGAGCCCACTCGCAATATTGATTGATTAAATAAATAAATAAATAAATAAATGGGTACTTCAGGACCGCGGCGGATCCAATTCCCATCCCGCGCCCGCGCTCGGTGTGTTTATCCTCCATCACGGAATTGGACCCGCCGCGGTCTCAACCCGACCCGCACCCGCCTTTTGTGTTTTATACTTTAACCTACACCGTGTGACTAGCAAATTAATTTACTTCCATTTTGTTTAAAAAAATATATTTAACACTTCAATAAATTAAAAATTAATTAGAAAAAGAACATTTAACTGCCTCTGTGGCCGAACGGTTACCATGCCTGAGTGCCACGTAAAGGTCTCAGGTTCGATTTCAGGACCGGGAGAAATATTTGTATGGCCTACATTAATTTCTCTCGTGAGATAGGGTGTAATCTGTGGTTGTCTATGTGCGTGTTCATGGCACCCGCGACACAGGGTTTCCCTAGTGCGGGGCTATGTAGAGTGTGTGCGTTATTATTATTATTTAAAAATAGAGTTAGTATTACAATATTTTGTAGAAATTAATATATGTACATTCGTGCTCATGAAAAGAACTATGGACCCTGAATGCAATGTCACTCAGCTAATTGTGAGTCTCCATTCAAACCATCCCCACAAGATTAACTGGAATAGACGACTCCAATTAGATTTCTCGAAGTTTTTGTAAATATTGTACACAGTTGCAACGTCACGTCGTTAAATTGCTAAGTTATAAGAAAGAAAGATTGGGAATACTGACGACACTGGTGGTGAGCGAATTGAGCATGTCGAAGGTGGTGCTCTGCTGCGTGTGGATGATGGCGAGAGCGTTGTAAGGCCGCGCCAGTCCACCGCCTAGCACCACCTCGCCACCTACCCCGCCTGCGACCGCTCCACCGCCGCCTACCACCACCTGTAATATTAAGAACACAAAATATTGTATATATGTAGTTAAGAGCCGATACTACTATAATAAATATCAAGTTATGAAGTTAATTCCAGTTTATATTTATAAAGTACCTCTCGCTACGTATCCTAAGCTACGTCTCTTGGTTACAAATGGTGGAGGGATGTAGTCTAGGCTCTACTCTATGAGTAGAACTACTGGCTGAGTGAATACAGTTTTGTATTAATTAATTTATAAAATTAATTGTATTAATTAATAATTAATTTGTAGTTCGTTTTCGCGATTGTTACACATCGTAGTCTAAGTGTCCTATTCTAGAACTCTATTCAATGTTCAAGTCAGGATTGCACTGGAAACACAAGCACTGGAAATACGACCCTAATGGCAGGGACTTGAGTATGATTTCGAGTGCTTTAAAGCATACTCAAATCCTGACTTGAGCATTGAGTAGAGTTCTAGAATACGACCCTTAGACTACGATGTGTAACAATCGCGAAAACCTAAGAACTTTCCGTATACTAGTTAAAATACATAAGTATTTAAGAAGTCACCTTGAAGGTCTTCTCTTTGCCATGCACAGTCTTCTCCTTAGCTGGTGGTAGAACGTTTGCGTCCAGGTGGTGTGTCGGCTGCGAAATCTGATGCCCATGGCCATGAAGGCCTGATGTCATCTGTGAAACAAGAATATTTGTTTTTAATTAACTACGGAGAAGACTACCTGCACAGGAGCGCCTATGTCAGGATGTGGAGCGGAGAGTCTTAATCCGGGAAACTCACTAGCGATTGCTAGTGAGTTCTAATCATAGCCGTAGTATGTTACGTTACCAAAAATCATAGGTGCGGTTCGCAATGAGCCAACGATAACAAGGCACTCATTCTAGCGAATGATGGTAAGCTACACGCCTGTCTATAACAGTTACAGTGCCACTCACAGCTTTAAATCGCAAAGATCTGAGGGGCACTGCCACTGCGCCCGTCATCCATAGGTTGTCAAGTCCCATGTGCCTGTAATTTCACCAGCACCCTTACCCTTCTAAATTGGAGCGCAATAATAGCTCACATTACTGCTGGGCAGTACTTCCCTGGATAAACTCTTTCACAAGGAGCTCTACTGCTACTAAATTGGTTGACTAAAGTAAGTATGGGTTTATCCAGTGATATATTTTTTTGTTTAATTCAGAATGACACCATATAATGTGTGAGTAACAATTATAACCTTATGCCTAAGTTAGTGACACACAACATACAAATACATATTTTAATCAATCCCTTCTGGCTGACATATGAAGGGCCTCCCATACCTACACAAATGGGCCGTCGACTCTCTCCGCAGCAGATAATAATTACATTACAAAAAATGTTTCCGTTACAAGGTCGAGACATGACAAACGCATGAAATAGTACATTGTGTGTTAAGGACGGAAAACAAGAAATTACTAACGAGGGTCTATTGGAAGCCCGAAGCCGAAGGTTTAGTTTTATATTTTTTTACCATCCGTTATACTTACAATGTTTTTTATCACATTTGCGATAAAAAACAAATGAATAAATATGGTTCACAACAATTATGGATTTCGCAAATGGCAGGTTTTTTGTTTTTTTTTTTTATCAACAGATGGCCAGTTAGCTATTCTTCCATAAATAATACAACTCGAAATACAATGCTTTAAACGCCATCGAGAAAACGCAAAGACGCGTACAGCCACGCTTACGCAGCGTACGCGTATAGAAATTGGTTCTGATATCGCTATACTGGCTATTTACCGCCCCCCCTCCTTTAGTAATTTAGTCCCATTCATAGATACTCTAAATGATGTGCTTTCCCTGCTACCATCCAATAAAACCTTAATTCTAACAGGCGACATTAATATAGATATTACTGACAACAATAGAGATCCTAACTCAGATACCTACTTAAATTTGTTAGCTACTCACGGTCTTCTACCAGCACACAATCTTCCCACCCATGGTGCCACTTGCCTAGATCACATGTTCATTAAATCCAAATATTCCTCAACAACATTGGTAATTAATTCGACTGTCACGGACCACAACTCTGTCCTAGTGTCGTTAGAGAAGCGGATATCGGGAACTACAACAAAAAGACTGACAAAAATTAATTATTTGCAGCTTGGTAGGGATTTGGATCAATGTGATTTTTCATCTATTTACAATGCTCCGGATGTCGACTCGGCTGCACATATCCTAACCAACCTCTTACAACAGGCGGTCCTCTTTAATTCAATCCCATTAACTATACCCCATCGCCTCAGACCCATAAAACCCTGGATCACCCCAGGTCTCCTACGATGCATAAGAAACAGGGACAAAATGCATAAAAACCTAAAAAATAGTCCTGATAACTTAACTCTCATGACAACCTACAAGCGCTACAGAAACTTCTGCAATAACTTGCTAAAGAGAATAAAAAGATCTTATGAAGAAACTAAACTCAAAGAAGCTGGATCCGACAGTAAAAAGCTCTGGTCGGCCATAAAAGAAATAACCAATTTGAATGCAAGTAAATGCGTCGCCCGTGATCTCCTGCTAACCAAACCCACACCTCTGGAATCTGTTAACCACGTGAATGAGTTTTTTGGTTCTGTCGGGAGGACTTTGGCAGAGAACATGAGCACTTGTCAAGGATTTCACGCTTCTCCTCCTCCGCCGAACCCACATTCATTTGTTCTTCTACCCACCGATGAACAGGAGGTGCTTCGTGTAATTATGTCGCTAAAAAAGGACTGTGCGGTGGGATGGGACGGTATATCTACAAAACTAATTAAAGCCTACAGTTACCTAATTGCTCCTCCCTTAACTCATATATGTAACATGTCGTTCTCCACAGGTGTGTTTCCTAAATCTTTTAAAATAGGCCTTATTCACCCGATATACAAATCAGGAGATCATAAAGAGGTTAACAACTACCGCCCTATATCAGTACTACCCGCCCTATCCAAGGTACTCGAAAGATTACTCAACAACCGACTGACTAATTATCTAGAAAGCAAAGACCTGTTAAGTGATAACCAGTACGGTTTCCGGGTGGGAAGATCCACTGCTCAAGCAGTACTTAACTTTACCAACTCGATTGTCCAAGACCTTGACAATAGAAAGAAAAGTTTGGCAATTTTCCTTGATCTAAAAAAGGCCTTCGACACTGTATCACATCCAATTTTACTGACTAAATTAGAATCACTTGGCATACGCGGTGCTCAACTTTCTCTGTTTCAAAGTTACCTCACCGGCAGAACCCAACGAGTTATCATAGATCATAACATAAGTGATGACCTCTGCATCAGCTACGGAGTTCCCCAGGGAAGCATAGTGGGACCTACCCTATTTCTCGTCTACGTTAACGACCTGTGCAATTTGCCTATTCCTGGAGGTCACCTAACTGCTTTTGCAGACGACACGGGTCTGTACTTTTCTGGAGATACATGGGATGAGGTATTCTCTACCGCACAGTTTGGGTTAGATAGGGTCATGAAATGGTTAAACTGTAATATGCTCACCCTCAATACATCAAAAACAAAATATATAACATTTTCAATAATTAACCGTAACCTTCCAATTCCTACCAAACACGTAATCACTGCTCACTCTCCCAAATGCTCCAACGTCCCCTGTTTTTGCCCCCAACTTGAGAAAACGGATAAAGTTAAGTACCTGGGAATTGAGTTAGACAGTAATTTATCTTTTAAAGCTTATATTAGTCTACTTGCAAATAGAGTACGCAAATTAATCTTCGTCTTCAAACACCTTCGACACGTCGCTGACCCTTCCATCCTCAAAATGGTCTATCTTGCTCTATGCCAATCAGTACTGACCTATTGTATCACCACTTGGGGTGGTGCTGTGAAAACACACTTTATTGTTCTGGAGCGAGCTCAGCGAGCTTTACTTAAAGTATGCACTTTTAATCATAGACTCTTCCCCACACATTCCCTCTACCAACATTGCGAAGTCCTTACAGTACGCCAGTTGTACATTGTATGTACTGTTCTCCTACAACACTCTAAAACCCCATACTCTACTGATAACATACGAAGAAACCACTTGGTCGCAGAATCCCGCCATTATCACACCAGCTTCAGCCATAGATTCTTCTGTTTCCTTGGGCCTTTCCTTTACAACTCCATCCACCGGAAACTAAATATTCATTCTCTTCCCAAAACCAGATGTAAGAGCATAGTATCAACTTGGCTGCAAAACCTTAACTACGAAGAAACAGAAGCTCTCCTTCAACAGGTTGCGTGAACCGCTGTTTTCCACACATCTATTAAAATAAAACAACCACTAACCAACCCCAACATTCGTTCCGCATACTCACACACGCTTACACACACCACACACACACATACACCACTCACACACACTCACAAACTATTATGCACATTCACATAGTGCTCAAATGATCACACATATACAGGCATTATGTCGTTGCCAATGTATTAGTATCGTATTAAATTTTATTATTATATACATTTAACTCCTGTATTTTATACATTTAACTCCTGGAATTTGTTATTAAAATTTGTATCTTGTACCCTGGCACTCTATTGTATAGTACCATAAATTCAAGCACATAAGTACTGTTAGTAGCCTCTAGATGTACATATTCGGTCTTTTTGTACCTACCTACTGTAGCTGCTGGCTAAAGCTCAGAGTATTCTATTTTAGTCAGCGGCTGTACGTTATAAGCACCAGCCTTTCCCCAAGAAACATGTAATACTTGGTACTTACTTTAATATAAGTCTAACCTGTACCTAATGTAAGGCTTATGGAACAATAAATGATTATTATTATATTATTATTATTATAGCCATGATGGATTGTAAAAAAAATGCCTACATTTTTATACAGAAAATTATTATTCTTAATCATAAGTATTTAAGTAGTATGTGGCAGAATTGCAATTAAAATTCTGTTTATATAACATTTTAAGAGGATTTTTTAATTTTTGAACTAAGTAACCTCCTTACTTGAACTTGAACCTGACCTATCTAAGGAAGTATGTCGTGCTACAAATTAAAAAAAACTCCTTACCGTCCATGACTATAATGAGAAGAAAAAGGCACGAGGGTTTTATTTGGGGCATTATAGTCAATATGCCACCGTACAATCGTATTATTTACGAGCAAGTGTGATAAAAAAAAGAATTAGAAATATAATTTAAAAATAATAATTAGGTTTAACAACTTTATAGCTATATAGAACAGCTGTTCTGTGTCGAATTTGCCGAATTTTCCCTACGTTGGTACTCATACTACGATTAATTCTCTACTTTGCGATCAAGCAATAGGTTTGATTTTGCCTTGCGCATTTATTATTATTATTGTGAACAAATAAACAATTCCACGATATAATAATATTAGCACAGATATAGGAATTCAATTGCTTTGAAAAGGTGTTAATCGAATCACGATAGTGAACAGTGATGTGATGTTATTTATTTAGATACGTGACAAAACACGTACGAAAATAATGACCACAATAGAGAGTTACGACACTATCGACAAGGACCCGCGTATAAAAGCCGGTTAAAAAAGCTTTATGACGTATAAGACTATGGCTCAATTTAAATAGAACTTTAAAATGATTGAATTTTAAAATGATTTTTGTAACGAAATTGTACAGTCAACAACATCAAGCTCAGCAGCGTCTGTCG